GTATTAACTGAGAATGCAGTATTCACGTTACTATTATTGTTGAATTGTCATCCTCTTCCTCAATTCTTTATTTTTCATTTATATAGTTTGGTCTCTCTTGTTGGGTGCTTATATGTTTTTAATAGGTATATTTTCCTCATAAACTGACTTTTCTTTTAAAGTTTAACTTTATGTATTTATTTTAATTTGGACTAGGGAGGGAGAAAGGGAGAAAGCAAGCTGCCAGGTCTGGGACTTGAACCATGGTTTGCCATGTGGGCTTCCAGCACCCTTAACCACCACGCCACCTGCTAGCCCCCCAAACTGACTCTTTTGTAACTAAAAACTGTCTTTCTCTTTTTTTATATCAAAAATTTGGTGGAATAATGGAATTAAAATGCAAGTTTATTTTGGTGCAAAAACTTTTTGAAATTTTTGCATAGCTTTTTCATAATACGCATTTTCTATAAACATTTTGAATAGCTTTCATATGTCTTCAATCCTTGTACTTTTAAACATATCCACTTGTGGATAGCATATGTTGGATCATTTTTGAAAAATTTAGTCTGATAATCTCTCCCTTTTATTGATATGTTTAATATGTTATGTTTAATGAAGCAATTCAGATGGCTTGATTTATATTGGCCATTTTTCTGTTTTCTTAGTAGCTCATGTCTTTTTTTTCTGTTGCTCCTTTACTGTCTTCTTTTGTATTAAATATGTATTTTCTCGTGCACCAGTTTTATTACTATTGTTTTTTTTTTTACTACTTCTGAGAGTTATTTTCTTAGTGACTGCTCTAGAAAACTCAAAATGTATTTAACAAGAATACTTCAAATTAATATTAACGGATAAAATAAAGCAACTTGGCTGTAATGTTACTCTGTTCTCTCCCTCTGTTCTCTTGTTATATATTTACATCTTTTAAGTCACAATACAGATTTTATTTGTTTTTGTTTTTTGTCAGAGGGCGCATGTCCTCACCAGAGAGAGTGATATAGAGGGAAAGAAAGTGAGAGATCACTCCTCCATAGGGAATGGCCATGCTGCAATCCCTTCTCCTTCATTCTCCTCCTGGGATTTTGGGCATGCATGTACATGTGCCTGACATGATTTTCAAGCCACTGGGTCCAAGTCTTAAACCAGGGTTGGCCATGTGGGAGTCCAGCACCTTAATCGTCTGCCAGTCTCCTACAATACATTTTTATAATTATTGTTTTATGCAGTTGCTTTATAATTGATTACAAGAACAAAAGAGAAATATATATATATATAATATATATTTAATTTATGTTAAATATATAATATAGTATTAAATATATATTTAATATTATAGTATTTAATATAGTATTAAAGCTATATATGTATACACACATACACTAATATATGAATATGTATGTGCATGTATGTACATATATATACATACATGCATGCACATACATATATTAACACACACACACACACACACTTCAAAACCTTGTGGAAAAGACTTAAATTGGTCTATTTTGGTGTAAGAAAAATTGAAATTCACGCACAGTTTTTTTCATAATACTTATTTTTCATACACACACACACACACATACACATACAAACTTCCTGTAGTATTTTTTGTAAGACAAGCTGTAACTATTTGCTGACAGACCTGCACATGGGCTGAATAACACATTCAAAGTTTATGCAGTCTATAGACCTAGACTTTGTCCAGGTTGCATAGAACTCTGTGTTCGACTAGCGATAGGACCCCTCTCCAGTCCTTCCTGAGCATGCATGGTGACCTTGCACATGGCCTACCCCACTCTGCAAGAATTTCTTTGCCCCAAAGCTCAGGGAGGAGATGAAAACATCCCCAGGCTTAAGTGGCATAGACTCCCACCATTCTTACCTAGGTTCATTAATTTAAATAAATAAATAAATAAATGATTTGTTGTATGCCTTTGGACAATTTCCAGACTCTTTAAAAAGTGGTTTATTAATGGCTATGTTGCTGGACTCCCGTGTAGTTGAATGCAGTTCAAGTGCCGGACCCAGTGGCTTAAACTCATGCTGGGCACATGTGCGTGCATGCCCAAGATCCTGAGAGGAGAATGGAGGAGAAGGGATTGTGGCATAGCCATCCCCCCTGGGGGGGGAGGGCATTAATTTCTTGCTTTCTGTCTCTCTCTTTCTGATGAGTACATGTACCCTATAGCAAAAACCTCTCCGGAAAAAAAAAAAAAAAAAAAGATGGTTTATTCCAATATTATCAAGGCTTTTTGTGAGAAGAGATTGACTGAGCTCCTCACTGAGCAATCCTGGAGGTCTTGATCTCAGTGGAGGAAATTCTTGGTTCTTCTAACCATAGGATGTTTTAGAAGAAAGGACTAGTGAAAAATCAATGCAGCAGAGGTGGGAGCGACAAAAGTCATAGTAATTTGGATTTTTCAAAAGCTAGGAAGTAAAGGAGGAAAATGTGTTTTGGAATTAAATGATACTCATTTGTTTTGAACAGTGCATGCTGTGTATAAGTAGAAACCAGAAGGAAAAGTGGCCTTCTGAGAGAACAAATTTAGGTTAAAGGAAGAGAGAAGGAATAAAAAATGATAATAAAAAAGAAAAGGTTAAAATTTCAATTGGGGGCCAGCAGGTGGCATAGTGGTTAAGGAGCTGAACTCTCACATGGCTAACCATGGTTCAAATCCTGGACCTGGTGGCTTGAAAATCATGGTGGGAGCATGAGTGTGTGTGCCTAAAATCCAAGAGGAGAATGGAGGAGAAGGGATTGTGGTATGGCCATCCCCCCTGGCTGTGATTTCTCTCTCTCTCTTTCTCTCTCTCTCTCTCTCTCTCTCATGAGTGTACATGCACTATGGCAGAAAAAAAAATTCTTTATGCTGTCTCATCATCCTCTGTACAATTGCTGGGAAGTGTCTAATAGGACAAATGCAAATGAACAATGTGATAGATTAAGAAGTCACAGAGATTCTGCTGAAGCAAAGATACTGTCACTGCCCTCTGTGTTTAACCTTGAGGGAAACAATATAAATAATTATGTTATGGTATTAGCATGGTAAATATTCAGAATCACCTGGGATATTACTTGACTTTAACAAAATAATTCATTTCAGAGATCCAAGAATGTAGTAAGGCAGTGGCTGTAGGGAGTTGAAGAAGGCTGGGATGAGATAGACACCAATTATAGCTAGTTTTGAACTGAGGCGTCATCTCATCCCTGTCCATCTGGCTTTACTCTCTGAAGTTGTAGAGTGGGAACTAAGTACCATAGGCCATTTGGCAGTCATGTCTATTTTCACCACTGCCCCCTGTGCCAAACGTGCGGTATCAGCTCGCCGCCACCCTGAAGGAACAACAGATCTGCCTCAGCTCAGTAGAGGGCTGTTGCACTGTTGTCTCTTCAAGGGACAAGATGAAATGATCCAACAGTGAAAACCCATAGAACAGAATATCAGACCAGAAGGACCCTGGCAATCATAGAGTGTACCATTCCTACTTTACAGGGGTGTAATATTTAAGCACAGGAAATTCAGAGACAGTCCACATATCACAAGGCTAATGTAAGTGACAAGACTAAAACCTGGGATTTCCAGTCCCCGGTCAAGCTACAAGTGTCTATAAACCTCTTACTTTCCTCTTTTCCTATCACATAAAGAATTATTCTCAACTAGCCTGAGAGTAGCGAGTAAGCACAAAACACATACACAGCAAGAAGACAAAAATACAGATGGGGAGAGACCCATGGTGGAAAACCTTTCAGCCTTATGCTTAACCTGTCCCAAAAAGAAGGCTAAAAAGAATTATGGGTTAATACATTTGGGTTTTTTGTTTGTTTGTTTTGGGTTTTTTTGTTTGTTTTGGAGAGGTTTTCGCTATAGGGCGCGTGTGCTCACCAGACAGACAGAGAGAGACATAGAGACAGAAAGCGAGAAATCACCCCCCCAGGGGGGATGGTCACACCGCAGTCCCTTCTCCTCCATTCTCCTCTCGGGATCTTGGGCACGCACGCACACGCGCCCGGTGTGAGTTCTAAGCCACCGGGTCCGGGACACAAACCACGGTCGACTACGTGGGAGTCCAGTGACATAGCCATTACACTAACTGCTGATTCCCTACATTTGTTATTTTTAAAAGTATTTTTATTTAAAGAAAAATAAGTGTGACAGACAACCAGGGTAAACGGAAGGGAAGCATCTGCTGCAGATAGAAAATTTACTGACGTTATTGCAGTTGGAAATCCCTGTTGAGATCACATAAAATCATTAGACATTGAGTGAAGATCTCTTTGATACTTGATGAAATATAGCATTTTTTTGTTTTTGTTTTTGCCATAGGGTACATGGGCTTACTGGAGAGAGAGAGAGACAGACAGACACACATACACACACACACACACACACACACACACACACACACACAAAGAGAGAGA